TAATAAGTCTGAGCTAACAGACCAAACAGTTTAAAATTAATATGAGCCTCTGTGTGTTTCTTTGGAACTGTATGGCTGTGGGACCAGGCAGGACAGAAATTTCTGTTTACACAGATGCATGGTGGCCAGATGTTGACATAAGGTATTAACTCAATAGCTGGAATTATAGGCAGGTGCCAATCCTGCCTGGCTTTTATGTGGATACTAGGGTTCTGAATTCTGGTTCTCATGCCTGCATAGCAGCATATTATCAGTTGAGACTTATTCTGAGTCCTGGTTTTTAAATGTATTGTCATGTATTTAATTTTATATGTTTAATATCAGACTAAAAATGCATTCACCCTCATAGTCACATGGTGAGTAATCCACATGAGAAATAGAGAAGAACAAGTGTCTTTTATCAAGATTACAACTAGGTGGGGCTATGTTTTCGATTTGGGATCAGAGCCATTATTTCCAACCTATCAAAATCTGACCATATGAAACAAAGAATTATGACTTTGTATATTTTTCTTAGCTTGATAAACATAATATATTGAAATTTTTAATTTTTTCCCACAGGCTAGGATGTAGCTCAGTTATAGAACACTATCCCATCAAGTAAAAAGTTCCACCCTTAGCAACATATACAGATATACAAACACACTACACAATATATGTATGCACACAATACTCTTTATGTACACACACTACATATATATATATATATAATATACACCATACTTTACATGCACACACTCATACACACACACACAAACTTGCACACACTATACACACCATGCTCTAAATATACATACATACACAACTACCATATATATACACACACATATACCATACTCTGTATACCCACATACACACATACCCTTCCTTGGAAAATGAAACCTAACTGTACAGGGAGCTATTAAATGAAGACTTTGAAAAGTACCCCAAGAGCACATCTTCATTTAGAAGAATCACAAAGTTTCTATGTTTTTCTAACAAACTCAACATTTCTAGAAAGACAGCCTGAAAATGTCTTTTGTTAGGTCCCAGATAGGTGTTGCCACTCAAGGGAAAGGAGCCCTCTTGTGCTAAGAGTGTACTTTTATAGCTCCTGCCAATGAACTTATCCAGTATTTTCTGGCTAGAATCATGTTCCAGAAAATTTGATAAACATAAACCACTGTCAGAGCTTATTAATCAAAAACTGTTATCAAAATCTTTATGTAAGCACCTGGCACCCACTTTGTAGAGTATTAGTAGGTATCTATAGTTGTCTTTGTTGTTGTTGTAGTTATTATTTTGTTTTGTTTTGTTTAAAGGGTACCTAGGTCAAGAAAGTTTGGGTCCCTACCTCAATCTAAGCAGGGCATACAACACAGTCAGATGTCATGTATTTGAGGTAGCCATCCTAATATAAAAAAAAATGCTTAACTTTGTATAATAGAGCTTTTTCCTCAGTCTTATGTGACTTTAAATAAAGCATAGAAAATTGTAATTAGCTGCAATTAGAATTGTGATCATGGCATTTCTCAACTGAGTCTATGCTGAAGCCTCCTTCTTTGACTATATTTCACCATCTTTCCTACAGCACAGACAATGGGAGTGGGCTTGAACAGAGTGTCCATGATCAGTACACTGCACACTCACTAAGAGTTTTTTTCACTATTCATGAAGGAAAGAAACATGAAAATATCCAACGGGCCCAGTTTGTGGAACAGATGAAGTCCCAAATAAATATAAGCACTGCCAAGTTAAGGACCCCAGTGCTTCAAACATATGGGACTGGCCATACCTTCCCCAGTCTATGGAGATGGTGACAGTATGTGCGGAATATGTTAACTGGGAAATTGCAAACTGCTATTTCCCCCAACTTCTTCTTTCTAGATATTTACAGCCTGGTTTATTCCCCTATAGAGAACCCCCGGCACAGAGATTAGCTAAACCTACCTCCTCATTCAGCTGTATTAATAACCTGCATCCTTATTAATGCCATAAACCTGCCTTTTCAATTTAGTTAGATGTATAAAACAAACTTGCTGAATTTCCGAACCATTGGTGTGTTTCCATCAGAGGACACAGCCCATCCAATCCCGGATTTTCTATACACGTGTCTGTCCTTTCTTCATGACTCACAAGCCAGTCAGGTCAATCCCTAAACTGCGCAGGTCACATCAGACCAGTGAAATAGTAAAGAAAATAAAAACGTGGAAAGTTTCAGGGATCTAGCTATGTTTTATTAGATATATGAAATCTTGATGTCTTATCTTTGCATAAATTAAGATTCAAAACTGAAGGCCATTAGCACTACAGCAATTAGTAAATAGTACTTTTTAAAATGTTGTATTATTTGATGTTAATTATGGTATAAGGGAGGTCAGCATTTTGAACACTTCAAAATGTTTATAAAAAGAAACTGGAAAAGTTGTAACGACTTATTCATTTGGAATGGATTATAATTTAATGCAGTTTTAACATTTGTTCTTCAAATTAAAAGGTATTTTGTCCACTTAAATTATTCTTAGAGCATTTTAGCCTAGGGAACAGGACTGTAAGGAGATGTTAATGAGTCAGAATCAGCAACAAGAAATGACTGCATAAATTAATATAAAAATGTTTATGAAACAAGGAGAGTATGTATAATATCCCCAAATTTGTAGCTAACATTTTTTAGAGCATCCTTTTCACAGATGAATAAATTGAGGTATAACTGGTGTGAGCAGAGCAGAAATTCATCTTATTGGGATCTACCATGTTGAATCAAGAAAAGCAATTGTTCTCCACACCTATATGAAAAACTTCTAGATTTACCAATAGTTTTATGTTTAAATGAGAGGCACCGTGTTCAATTAATATGTGTAAATGAGATATTAGTATGACTTGTTTGTTCTACACCTGCCAATAGGCTGGCTATCTGTCAGGAAACACATGTTTCTTAAACAAGTCATGCTCCTCTGTTCTTTAATGACTGTTGCCTTTATTTCTGGTAAAAAAAAATGCAATTGCAAGTCTCTAAAATAATCTCATTTTAATAAGCTTAGAACCAAAAGAAATGACACTACTTCTTTAAATAAAATGCAGTGAACTACAAAATTTTAAATAATACCATTTCTTTTTTCAGGAACCAAGTAATTTAGACTTATTTGAGAACATATAAATGCGAACTATAAAACAGCTTCTTACATTAACAACATATGTTACTGCTGGAAACCCAGAATCCTCCATACACAAAACCATTTTTCTAGAAGAACAAAAAGCCTGAGCTGTCGCAGGGCCTTACTGTGTGAGAGGGACTGGGTTGTGCGTCATGTGACACTTTCCCATTTTTTATTAAAATACCTAATCACCGTAATCACAGGTGGATCTTTTCATATTTTGACTTTGGGGCATATATACTATACCGACTTGTCACTTACAACTGTGACTTCATTTGAGACAAACTTTGAAATGTATTTAAGCTAAAATGTTTATGAGCTTTTAATTTTTACATGAATACAAACAGGCCTTTGTGTGAAGATCTGGCTGTACCTCCTAGAAAAGGTACTTGACCCTTTCAAGTGTGAGAAGGACACAGGGCCACTGGTTCTAACAAGCTTCTCTCATCATTTATGTGCATATTACCACTCACATTGCTTTATATTGAATTTTTTGTCTAATTAAAAATGTCATTTCTCTGCCAGGAGGTGGTGGCACACACCTTTAATCCCAGCACTTGGGAGGCAGCAGCAGGTAGATCTAAGCGGGTTCAAGGAACTCACTCTACCATGGGAATTCCAAGACATAAGGACAGTTACACAGAGAAACTCTGCCTCAACAAACAAAACAAAACAAATGAACAAACAAACAAAAACAAAATGTCATTTTTTTCACTCCTACCATAAAGGTTTATATATATTCATCTCAAAGACATGGTGATAAAGAATGAAAAGAAAGTGCAACCTGGACAAGGCGCTTTTAAAACATGGTGGGGCATCTACGTGACTATCAAAATTTAATGAATTTCTGAGTTCTGGATATAGCCAGTCAGCCTCCTTCTCTCTCTCTCTCTCTCTCTCTCTCTCTCTCTCTCGCTCAAAATAAAAAATAAAAAAATTGAATGTAACTGAGTATATTTGGTCCCTGAGGCAGGTACATTTAGAGATAGTGTTCTCAGCATTTCTAAGTATATGTAGGTGAGTAACAGAATGCTAGACACCATGAATATTATTAAGAAAATAACATGCTCATTGTTACAAAACTTGCCTTCATTTAAGGTTTCAACTACTCCAGCAATGGATGTTTAAAAGCATGTTAATCAGAGCAAAGCAATTTTGTTTAAAAGAACTAAAAAAGAAAACTGTGCTATCTGCATGTAACTGAGTGAACAAAAACTGTCTTAACTTGATAGGAATTCCAGGAGTGGAAACCTTTAACTTTACCATAGTCAACTTTCTAACTATACCATGTTATTTTGTAACAGAACCACGATGGGTAAATTCAGTGATATGCAATGGCAGGAAGTATGTGGGCTTATGGCCAACCATTTAGCACAGAACCTAGAGCTCCATAACAGCAGTATTCTGAGAGGAACTTGAGAGACTGCATGCTAAAGGTCTTAGTTTAAGTAATCCAAGATTGGATATGATTTGTTGAAGATATGAGAACTGTTGGTATTGTGAATGTTGGGGTGGAAAAGGAGGGAAATATGAAACAAGTCAGGTTGATAAAAACTTTAGAGAGCAAATAATAACCTTCCAACACTATAAACACCAATTTACACATCCATCAAAGTACTGGCCAGCACTTTTGTTTCAATCAAATTAAAAGAAAATTTGGGAAGGATTTCTTTGTTAAGTAGAATCAGCATGCCCAATCTATGCTTCTGAGCCATGCATCCTTAAACAGAGTTTAACATGTTTAACCATATTTGTGTCAGCAAAAGCTTATGTCTGACCACTTCTAGGTCAACCTTCTCACTGCAGGCCTGGCATTAAAAGTATCAACTGATGCAGGCAGTTTTAATGTAATGAGTCAGGTCTTACCTCTACATAGTCCTTGGCATGGCCCCAGTCTCGTTTGGCATCCAGATTTCCCAAACTGAAACATTCCAGTTGTCCAAGGTGAATCTTAGCTACTGACCGGCTAATTTTTCGAGTAACAAAATTTGCTCCTAAAAAGAAACAAAAGATGTATTATCAGTAGAGTACATTTGACATTTAACAGTTTGGTGCACCGAACACAGTATCAGCCTCTGGGCATTTCTTTCATCCTATCTCCCCCCTAAAAACAATAACATAAAAAGGAGAACGATCATTAGCTGTCAGTTAGACAAGCTAAGAAGCTCTAACTCTAAGTGTCATATCAGCTCTACTTTCATAACAAACCTTTCTTCTTTGGAGGATGTCTTAACATTCCTAATTTGCTGTTCCAATGTGTAACCCAGGCTTTAGGCCAAAGAAAAGCTATTGGAATGCCAGCTGTTAAACAGAAAATTCTAAAGGATTGTATAAAGGGAAATGCCAGAATGGAAGACAGACATCTAAGACCACCCTGCTTTTTTTTTTAAAAAACACAAACATCATATATTTCTATTAATAAAGCTATGCTAGGACCCATGGGAAGAGGAAGGGAAGGAACCATTTACAGGGCGAAACTAGTTACAGGAAACCCAACAGGAATTTCCTTGGACTGCCTTTCTCTTAACAAAATAAGTGGCGCTCACGCTCATCCAAAAACCTGCATATCCAACAAAATATAAAGTATGATACAGTTCCAAGTCAAGAGTTTCTCTGTACCAAACTTAGTACAAGGTCATTTTCCAATTTCATGTAAATGTCATCTACAATAATGGACTTCTGTACAAATTGTACAAATATTTTGAAATGTTTGGATAAAATGTACCATAAATTGGCAAAAGTATTGAAATTGTTTTAATTTTCAGTTTCTTAATGATAACTTCCATACACCTTTACTTTATTATTTCTTCATTATGGAAATGGAGTCTCAAATTAGATATGGTGGTACAGACCTGCAATATCAGGCTACCTTGGGCTATAAAATAAGATCCTTTCTCAACATACACACACACAAAATTTAATACATATATTGAAGATGAAAATTACATCTATCCATAATTAAGTTTGTATGGGGAGAAGGTAATAATAGGGAAGGGAGAGGGGAGGGAGAGAGAGCGGTATTGCGAGAGACTAAGAGAGACTGAGGGAGATTGAGAGAGTGGGGAAACTTTTTGTTGACCAGGCTCCTTCTATGCTATGGGCTCAAGAGATCCTCCTGTGTCCTTGAATAATTAGGATGTGTGTGCCAGGTTTCTCCCTAACATAAAGAAAGTACTTCTGGGATGAGTTTATTTAAGTCTCTGTATCTAGGTAAGGTTATGAGAAAGGCCTGCTAATGACTTTTTACAGTTTAGATACGTGGATAGTAACAACATATGTCAGGAGCTTTGCTTCTGTTCGTTTGTGCAGACAGAAAATGAAGGTAAATATGACAAAAAATTTGGGCTTCTGAAAAAACTGGCATAGGAACAAGGGGAATATTTCTAAATATATTTTCTAAACTTTGGCAAGGACATAGACTACAAGTTTAAACACAAACTCTAAACATTCACAGTGATCTTGTATCCTTAAAAGCATGATGAGAATGCCACGGAAAACCAAATGTTTAAACACTCCTAGCTCCTCATGAGGGCATTAAGAAACGGAAGTTCGGGGAAGTGATGCAGAACATACATCCTAGCCCTCAAGAGGTAGAGGCAAGTTAGGCAGTGGTGGCACAAGCCTTTAATCCCAGCACTCAGGAGACAGAGACAGGCATATCTCTGTGAGTTCAAGACCTGCCTGTTCTACAAGAGCTAGTTCCAGGACAGGTTCCAGAGCTACAGAGAAATCCTGTCTTAACAAGAAAAAAGAGGCAGATATAAGATTAAAATTTCATGCCAGCATGAACAGCTTCAACACAAGAGAACTGTCTCAAAACAACCTGACAACAACAAAAGAAATCATTTTCATCTTTCCATGGATATTGACAAAACACAAAGGACCATCAAGAAAGAGCCTTTTCAAATAAAATATTTAGTAAAATTTTTTGTTTTGAAAAATTTTAATATTCTATGGGCCTGTATAAACTTAAGTTTATGAGTAAATACAGGTTTATGTCACTGTCAGGACTAAGTTGTTATCTCCAAACACATTAATATAAAAAGTGATATCAAACAATTAAACACCCAATAAGAATTAGTGAGAATTTTTTCTATTATCATTAAACTAATGTTTTGTGGGGTCCAAAGAAATATCTGACTTCATTTGACTTACCTTCCATCTAGGATAACCTGAGCAATCACTTGGCAACAGGAAATAAATAGGCATGGCCTACTGACAGACAGTGCAAAGGGAAGTGGGCAAGTGTAACCATGCTGAAGCACAATGGGTGCCATTTTGCAGACAGAAACTGCACATACTTTTTCCAGTCACCCAAACCCAAATAATCACACAAAAACTGTATTAATTGGAACACTGGCTTATTAGCTCAGGCTTCTTATTAACTAACTTTTACATCTTAAATTAAATCATTTCAATTAAATTTATATATTGCCACAAGGCTGTGGCTTATTGGAAAGGCTCCAGAATCTGTCTCCATCTGCAGCTACATGATGTCTCTGATCCGGCTTTCTTCCTACCAGCATTCAGTTTAGTTTTCTCACCTGGATATATTCTGCCCTGCCATAGGCCAAAACAACTTCTTTATTAACCAATGATAATAAAACATATGCACAGCATACAGAGGAGAATTCCACATCATTTGCTTATTCTAGATATTTTATATAGCTCTTTTGTGATCATTTCTTTTATTTAGAATAACAAAGTAAGGTTGATACATGTTGTACCTTGATTCAGAACATCATTACAATTTTATGGTTAATGTTCTTCTGTAGGAAAACAATAAATTTTATTTGCATAGCCATTAGCAGATGGACATAGAGTTTCCATAGTTTAGGTATTGTGATTAAAGCTGAAATGGACATTTATGTATAAGTTTTTGTGTAGTGGACATATATTTAATTTCTATTGTGACTATACATAGGGGTTGAACTGGTAGATCACACAGTTGATTTATGTTATAGCCTATAAGGAACTGTGAATTGTTTTTCAAAGGGGCTAAACAATTTTACATTTCCACAGCAATGACTCTGACTCCTTGGCATTCTCCCAAACACATACTGGTTATGGTATGTGTTCTTTGCTACAGTCATCTCAGTAGGTACTGATTTGGCTTTGACTTGTCTTTTTCTAAAAACTAAACAATTGTTGTTAAAACAACAATCTTTGTTTTTATTTGATTATTGGACAGCCATATGTCTTCTCTAGAGAAGGTTTTAACTGGATTTCTAATCTTTTAATTATAGAACAGAAAGGTTTTTTTATACAATCTGGATCCTAGTCTCTCTATGAAAATATTTTCTCACTGTGCATACTATTGTCACTCTTCCAGTGGTGCTCAGTAAAGTATATATTTTGTACGGGTTGGATTTTGCTTGTTCCTTTTTTTTCTCTCTTTTTTGATGAATTTCATTTGCATATTTTACCTTGGTTAAATGCAACACTGTGATTCTACTCAAGGTTTTGTCTAATCTAATATAGTGTAGACAATTATCTTTTTCTTTTATTCATTTGGTCTGTTTGTCCTTATGTTTAGATTTGATTGATAACTAATTTAGTATATGGTATAATTAAAAGTCCCAGGTTTCATCATTTGCATATAGATAACCAACTGTCCCACTGCCTACTGGAAAATAATTCTTCCCCCACTAAACTTGCATCTTTCTGAAACCCAAGCACACAAGAGAGTTTATTTCTGACTTCAACACCACTCCTATGACAAATGTCTATTAATACATTAGTAACAACACCTTTCTGACTGCATGTTCTTGGTAAGTTTTAAAACTAGGAAGTATAACTTGGTTCTCTTAAGGACTGCCTTAGCTATTTTGTTCTCTTGTATTTTCACATGAATTTTAGAATCAACTTTTGAAGGCCCACAAAAATAAAAATTGTGGCTTTGATGGATTGTATTTAAATCTATAACTCAATATAGAAAATACTTCCACTGTAACAACTGTATGCTTTCCAGTCAGTAAGTACAGGAGATACTTTTCTATTTATTTGAGTCATTAAATTTCACAAGTAATTAGTAGTTTCCAAAGAAGGAAAAAGTGTTATTTCCTTTTAAAATGTTTCTAAGTACTCTTATCCACCTGGATGTAACTGTCAATGGGTTTTTTTAATTTAATGTTTAAGTTCTAAAATTACTTTTGTAATAATATGCTCCACTAGTTAAACCTTAGGAAAAGCTTAAAATGATTTTATTCATTTATTTATTTGCTGCTTTTTACTTCATTTTTAAAAAAAATACTTTGAATAAACCTTTAAAGTTAATGGAGTAACTTTTCCAAATTACCATTGCGGAAACGGGGAGGAGGCGGAAATGTTTTTCAACAACTAAAAAAAAAAATAAACAAAAAATAAAAATAAAAACAAAACAAAAAAAAAAAAGAAAAAGAAAAAAGAAAGAGCCGGAACCTTACCAGTAGGCCACATCCTTGTGGTGATAACACATATTAATAGAAATGGGTTAATTTAAGATATAAGAGCTTGCTAGGAATACACCTAAGCTATTGGCCAAAGTGTTGCAATTAATATAGTTTCCGTGTAATCATTCAGATCTGGGTGACCAAGAAACAAAAAAAGCAGTCTCTATTTACACACAATGTGATACAAGACACTCTATGTTGACTCCCTAAACATAGTGGAGAAATTGTGATAATTCTTATGCTAATCAAAATGACTAGATTTCAAAGGTCTGTTTTTCACAGTTCTAAAATTGGCCAATTTATTCCCTAAGAAAAATCACAATTATGAGTATGCTATAATATTAGCTATGCAAATGTGAATATATAGACAAGATTGCATGTACACATGGGTACATACATGTTTTTGTAAAATTTTATCTGTCAGCACACAAATCTTATTTGAAGAAACAGTAGTTTCTCTTATAAAAATTCTATTCCATTGCCCATTTAAAAGTTTTCTGAAGCTACATAAAGTACAAAGTTTGCAAACAAGAAGTCATTCCAATTCATCCTGAACCCCATGT